ATTACATACACAGCCCAACAGGACAACAAGAACCCACCAACACAGGGACGCGGACTTATAAAAAATATTGGGGGGGCCCGGGAAAGCTCATGAATAATAAATAAGCTCATGAATATGCAAATAAAGTGGCTCCGGCCCTAAATAGGGCAAGCCACGCCCCCCCAGCCAGCCGATTGGCTGGCTGGGAGGTGTGGCCAGTCGGGATTCCCCTGTTCTCGCGGGGGCTGAAACCGCCAGGAGGAAGGAAATTCCCCCCGGCAGTGCCTTGGCAGTGGCGGTGGTGCTGCGAAGCAGCAAGGCAGGAGCCCCCGCCCCCGGCGCCCGAGATTATTGGGGGGGCTGAGCCCCCCCAAAAAATTTTTTGAGGGGGCTCGAGCCCCCTCAAGCCCCATGGAGTCGGCGCCTATGCACCAACAGCATATGAACCAATATGGCTAACTTGACCCAACAATTCCTTCCCCTGCACGTGCAAGCAAATCTTACTGCAGCCAACTGAGGACAACCAACCACGCCCTGCCCTCCCAACCTCTCTCATTACCAAGGTAATATAATAAACGAATAGAAAGAGAACCTACTCAAGTGACACTGACATAACCCCCCCACACACACACTAAGTGAAAGAATGTAAGTTTTACCACCCCACCCACCCCTCTCCCCTCACTCCCCCTTTTCCTGCTTCTTCACCAACCTTATTCTGTATACAACACTAATGTCCCATATCAAATGTAACTGATCTGTAGAAAAGGCTCTACAACCTGAAATAAGAGACAATGCACGTGCTTTTGTAAACCAAGAAAATATTTAATAATAATAATAATAATAATAATAATAATAATAATAATAATATCAGCATAGCTCAAACAACAGAGCAGATGGTCTTTTATTCCCACCCCTCTGGCCATTTCTGCCTTTGATGATGAATGCCCACTTCATTAATCCAATAGATTAGGCTTTATTTCTGCCCACTAAATTCATATATGTTGGTGGTTGTATAGGAGAGCCAGGTAACAGCTTTACCAGGTATGGGGAACCTGTGGTCCTCCAGTGGTTGCTGGTCAATACTCCCATTATCCTTGATGGGGTGGGAAGGAGCTTGAAAAGGGTTGGTTGCCTCGTTTTTGGCAATCATTGTTTTCATAGGTTATGTACTGGAATGAAACATGGTTATTATGCTCATCAGGTTAGTTTTCTGTTATCCGATTACATGTTCCTGAGAGGTAAGAGTCTTAGTCACTTACACGAAAAGCTGAGAGAAGTCCTGATGTACCTATGAGACCAAGTTAGTTGCACAACTCCTACTTGCGGGTTTCCCACAGGCATCTGTTCTGACACTGTGAGAACAGGATGCTAGTTCCACTTCTGAACACCCAGTTTGGGGAGTATGGACTAGCTCCTGCTGTCAGTAGCCTCCACCAAAGGGTGAATAAACCTATCAATTTCAATTTCTCTCAGTTCCTCTTTTTCACAGTCTTAAATTTATTTATCCGCGTGTCCAAAGCAACTTGCGAAAATTCTCAGGAAGATTGCTCAGCGTTTGAGTGTGAATCTCTCGTAAAACACACATTTTTGCATGCAGCTCTAAGACATATATTTTGACATGCATTTCCTCCTGCTATAGTGGATTTTTGAAATAATAATTTTCACAAACACATGCATTTCTTTTCACCCTTTCCCCTAACATATGCATTCTTGTACACATTCTTTGTTTGGAAAACTGGTTTGCAAAATTCAGAGATGTGCAAATTTCAAAGGATAATTGCATTTCAGTTCATGTGCTGGATTGAGAAGTGCAAATTAGGTAGCTGCTCATTAAAATGCAAACAAGATCAAAATTCTCCTCCATCCCCCCCATTAGTTTAAGTGAGCACAAAGGTGACAGAGGCCCCCTGCTGGCATAGCCCAACACAGCCAGGCAAATCTGGGCAGAGGAACATCTCCCCATTCAACCCCACTCCAGTATGGCAGATCAGAGTTTGGGTTGCTTTGCCAATCTGGAGCTAGCCCTAAAGTTGCGGTCCTGTATCCACATCTCTGTGAGGAAGCTCCAGTGAATGCAGGACTTCTGAGGAGACATGTTTAAGGATGCACTCTTATTTTGCCATAAGCTTTTACAAATAAGAACCTACCTCATCAGATTCATCTTGAGAGTCTTGTATGGTGGGTCAAAATGAAACAATTTCAGAAGATATTACAAAATCAGCAGGAAACCTTCCCCCAAAGTTTTAGAAAATCGCATTACTACAAAAATGTTTCCGGTCTCATATGTATGATTTAATACAGTTTCAGAATGCAAACAAGATATTGGACTAAGATGAATTTTTCATTGTTAACAGAAGCAGTTAAGAAAAGAGAGAATTAAGTTTCTTGCACAGTTAAACAGTCTATGGAAGTAAGTTGCCCATTAGTCATTAATTTCCTGTAATACAACAAAGACCATTCACTGCCCCCTGCACTGCCTTGATATTCTGCATCTGAAGATTGTATGTATAACATACAGATGGAAATAGAGATCCTTAAGGTAAAACAGAAAATGACAATTGGCAAAACATCAAAATTTATCCACATCACATTCCTTCCTTGCTTTTTATTATCCTGTCTAAATTTAGTCTTTCGTAGAAGTATCCCCACTCCTCCAATTTACTCCACCAAGGAAATAATAATTTATAATAATAATTTATTATTTATCTGGCTGAGTTTCCCCAACTACTCTGGGCAGCTCCCAATCAAGTGTTAAAAACAATACAGCATTATTGAGATTAAATTGCAGAATTAAGTTTTGCTTTTTAACCTGTGTGTAATTTGAAAGCAGCAAAATGGCCACAGCGTGGTAAAAAAGCAAACCTGGAAAGATGAATTTTCCAACAACTCGCACCCTAGAGCAAAGATAGGGAAGCTGTGCCCCTCTGTTAGACTCCAACTCCCATCAGGCCCGGCCAGTATGGCAAATGATCATGGATGATGGGAGTTGTAATCAACATATGCAGTCAGCATCTGAAGGGCCACAAATTCCCCATCCATATTCTAGAGATCTCTGATAAAGATTGACAAAGGTGGTGTTACAAACCTTGTGAATGGATCATTATTAAGTCCCCAATTCTGAAAACACACAAATAGTCATCTGCGGGCACAATGGCAGTGGTAGAATTAGAAAGAGGTCATTACGTGGGTTGAGTCAGTGGTGGCACACAACCAGTTTGGGTTTGTGGCCAAATGTTCCTATGATCACTATGTGTTATTGCATAACATACTCTTGTTGTTGTTGTTTAGTCGTTTAGTCGTGTCCGACTCTTCGTGACCAGAGCACGCCAGGCCATCCTGTCTTCCACTGCCTCCCGCAGTTTGGTCAAACTCATGTTGGTAGCTTTGAGAACACTGTCCAACTATCTCGTCCTCTGTCGTCCCCTTCTCCTTGTGCCCTCAATCTTTCCCAGCCTCAGGTTCTTTTCCAGGGAGTCTTCTCTTCTCATGAGGTGGCCAAATTATTGGAGCCTCAGCTTCAGGATCTGTCCTGTATTGGAGCCTCAGCTTCAGGATCTGTATTAGATGTCACACTTGTAGTGTTCAAGTCCAGTCTTGCTGTCAGTTCTGTCAATTTTTTGGAATTTTCTGTAGACTGCTTTGTCAAAGCTTCTAGGGATTGGTTTATTTTAAGCAGTGCCTGTGTCATTGACTCCATAGATGCTGTTGTCACTTTTTCCTGTGTGGCTGGTGTAGAGCCTGATATTGAGCCCCTTTTCTTTTGTGTTAGTTTTGCTGTAGATCTAGTTGTTATCTCGTCTGCTGGGCCGCTCATATCCCAAGGACGTTCTCACAGGAACAGCTTGCAAATGGAAAATCCCACTGTTTTCCTCTCTCACTCTGCAACTGTTTCCCTCTCAACCCTCTAGAGGGAGCAGTCAATAGTAGCCAAGCAAAAAGAAACAAAGAAGCATAGAACAAAGAACAAAGAATCCAAAAGTCCACAGTAAAAGTTGCTATAACACTTTTTCAATGTAGTTCCACTAGCGAGAGTTCAGCAAAATAGTTTCAATAAAGTCCCGAAACTTTGTCTCAGATAAGGTTCTAACTTAATATCCGATTTTAAATGACAGTTCACTTTCCCGGTGCCTTATTCTGGCAGTCTGTCCCAGGAGATTGGGACAGCAGAAAACTTTTTTTCCTTCATTAATTTCAGGCAGATTGACAGTGTCCACTTTCTTCCCCCCTTCTCCTGCTTGCTGGGGGGGAATTCAAATCAAATGTCAGGGTTTGACAGTTTTAAAGTTATTTTTCTTTCAAATGCAGCTTTGCACTTTCGTTGCTTTAATTATCATGCAGTCCAGGGGGGCAGACTTCCTTAATTTATGCCTTTCCCGTTTCCGGCCGAATTTCAAAATTTAAATTTAAAAGTCCCGTTCAATCTTTCAATCCTACTCACGGGTGTTACAGTCGAATTCAGTTTTCAGGAAGGAATCGGCGCTCTCCGTTCATGGCGACGCGGCTTCACTCCGCGGGCTGGGTAGCGACTCTCATCACCGCGCTCACTCCCGATGCCGCTCCGGAGCCTTTAAAAAGGCTCTTTCGCAGTACCGAGGGGCGCAAAGGTGCCCACCGAGTCTCCTTGCTCACAGGCTTCAGCACCTGTGATTTTAGGGGTCCCCCGCTCGCTGTAGCGGGTCAGACCCGAACTCGCGGAGCAGTCCTCCTCCGGAGCTCGAAGAGAGGACCGCCATTAAACGCTGGCGCCGACCGGAAGTCCTCCAGCACCATAATTCAAAGGCATCAATTCTTTGGCAATCAGCCTTCTTTATGGTCCAGCTCTCATTTCCATACATCACTACTGGGAAAGCCATAGCTTTAACTATATGCACCTTTGTTGGCAAGGTGATGTCTCTGCTTTTTAAGATGCTGTCTAGGTTTGTCATTGCCTTTCTCCCAAGAAGCATACTCTACTTGTACTTAATGTGTGCTTGTTCTCCTGTAATGATTTGCATGGTTGTTGTTGTTTTTCTACATGCTAGGTTTCGGTCACCTCATCCAACAGTTGTTGACGCTCGCAGGTGGTCGCATGGTACTGGTCTTGGAGGGAGGACATGACCTTACTGCCATCTGTGATGCTTCAGAAGCCTGTCTAAATGCCCTACTCGGAAATGAGGTAATCAATAGGCCGAAATGCTGACAAACAATGCATGCTTCCTGGATATTTTGCCGCGCCATGGTGGACTAATAGTATGTGATATCAGGGTGACAGGATGGTGGGGTGGATTTGCCCTAAATATAGAATGAAAATGTCACCCAGGTATGTTTGGGGACAGAACTTGACATGGTGGCAGTAAAGCCCAGATCTCCAAATGTGGATTGCAATGAGTAGCTTGTAAAACAGGGGCGGTGAACATTTTTCAGTCTGAGAGCCACATTACCATTTTGGAGAACCTTCTGGGGAGACCGCATGCTGGTGGTAGGTGTGGCCAGAGACAAAAGTGGGTGGATCAGTGGATGTAAATGTTACCTTTGTATAACAGGCTAGTTTCTACACATGTTCATGCACTATCCTTCATGCAGATGGGCAAGAAGCATTAGAAGAATTTGAGGGTGTATTCCAGGCAGGCATAAACACTCAAGCAGGGCCGGTGTTCTGAGGAGAGTCTCCTGTGGGCCAGATAGAGAGACCTGGAGGGCCGCATTTGGCCTGTGGGCCAGAGGTTCTCTACCTCCATTGTAAAGATGTGGGGTGGCAAGTGGAAAGTGAGCAGCAGGTGGGAAGAGGAGCCAAACTCCATTTATAAATGGATTTATTATCAGAACACAAGATTGCTGTTCCCAAAATGTGCTTTGTTTTCAGGGCAAAATTGTGGCCCCAGAACATGTGAGATCATGGCAGCCACATGGCTGGCAACCTTTGCCCCTATCATCCCCCTTTAAAAAAACTGATCTCTCCACCATTTTCACCAGATAGCCATGGAGCAGTGAAAATGAAGGATCTTGAAGGGAAACACACATGTAAATCAGCCCTTCTGTAAGTAGAAGGCACCATAATCAATATCCTACAAACCACTTTGAAACCTTGTATTCAAATGGAGCAGTGCTAGACTGACTGCTTACACATTGCATCACAAAGAGAGGACACAGATTCACGATAAAAATGCATTTCTATGTGTGTGCGTGCATGTGCAAATTTAGAAATCATTACTATAACTGAAACAGAAATGAAATCCATCTTAGCATAGTTGGGAAGGCTGTCACCAGGTGACCTCTTCAGGGGCTAATGGTTGGTGGGTGACATCAAGGACCCCTCTGCTTTCCCTTCTTCATCTTTAAAATGGACACGGACCAGAGATTCCTTCCAATAGAAGATTGTCCTCTGAGAGCCCTCCCAATGCACACCCTAAGCTAGGTTAATTTTGTTAATAGCTAAAAGCCCAGTATATTAGGAATATGACTGGTCATCCACTAACTTTCATGGCCAGCAGAAAAGTATGTGTCAAACAACAACAACAACAACAACAACAACAACAACAACAGTGGTTAAATTGAGCCACGCATTATCATAATTAGAAGATGCCGTTCTCTGCAGGTGCTTAACTGGGTAATTAGAACTCATTTCCCAGCAATTCCCTTCTGCAAACAGTGCTAGCAGAGCACTAGCCGTAGTTCAGAAAACACTGGCAAGGCCAATGCTGCCTTCTCAACACGGCGCACGCAATTGAGCTTAAATTAGGAAGGTCAGGAAAGGCCTTTTTAAGGCACTCTGCAGTTTGTCAGACGTATTTATTCATGTGCTGAGGATTAGAATTCATAAACATGAATGCAGGGGGCTTTTGCTTTGCCTTTGTTGTTCTTGGCTGGGACTCGTCAATGCAGCAGTATGCGGCTCTGTCCACGCTACTATCAGCACACACACACACACCCCACATGCACACCCGTACACACACAAAAATCTACAAAACAAGCAACTGTCAAATGAGCAGGGACCTTCCAGCATTCATGGGGAGCCAGGCAGACATGCAGATGTAATGTCCCAGACTCAGCAGCAAGAAGGGCTTGTTTGAATTAATTTTGTCTCAGAATCTCTGGAAGGAAAACATCCTGAATCCCAACAATGTGGAAGAAATGAATAAATGGAGGACCGGGCTGGAGAAGAAGAATTTCTTTCTGTATTGTCACTTGCACAAATGCGACCAGTTATTGTCTCCCACTTAAGAAATGGATGAAAATTAGAGAAGGAAGAAATGATTGGGGGAGGGGGCAAAGCGTTCAGAAAAATTATTCTGACAATAGCGTGGAAATAAAACAGGGATTAAGATGAACTGGCTGGAGCTGATGGATTATGGAGAATCACCTTCATCTCTTGTGGCTCAAGCAGATTAAGGCTGCAACTCTTGCTGGCCAGGGGCTGTGTGGGATGGTACTTCCACCACTGGATCTCAAAAGCCAATGGTCTGCAATAACTTGGAGCAGGGTCTTGTTTGCTCCTGTTGCATGGAATAGCATTCCTGTCAAGATATGGCAGCCACCTGCTAACCTGCGCTTTTTGGAAACAGTTGAAGATATTTTCATTCCAGCTTTCCCAGATGGATAAATGGGTCCATTCTGTATTGTTTTAATTTTCTAAGAAATATATTTCCTACTTTTGCGTTTTCAACTGTTTCCTGCTGGTTTTTATTGTGCATCCTCTTTGAGATGACTGTGCAGAAGGTGATTAATACATTGATGATGATGATGATGATAATAAGAAGAACAATAATAATTGGATTCCCCTACTCTGTGATGCCTGTGGAACAATCTATGGATGTAGATGTAGACCTCTCTAGGGGGGGAGGTCCAAAGCCTAGGCCAGGCACCCCCAAACTCAGCCTTCCAGCTGTTTTGGGACTACAATTCCCATCACCCTGATCACTGGTCCTATTAGCTAGGGATGATGGGAGTTGTAGTCCCAAAACAGCTGGAGGACCGAGTTTGGGGATGCCTGGCCTAGACACAGAGCCACAGAAAAAGCTCTCTTCCCAGCCCTAATCCAACACACCTGCAAGAGGGGTTCTGTTGGTGATTCCAACAAGTAGACAAGCTTGTAGGGGAGAAATCACAGCAAGTAAGAACTAAGGGCTTATCCATACTTGCTCTTGACCTGCCACTTTCCCCCAGGGAAAACTGCTCTTTTCATTCAATCGGAGGAAACAGCAAATGACTTTTCCGCAGATGGTTGTTAGTGCTCAAGAGAGGGTTTTCCCTGGGATAGAAACACGGCAAGAGGAAAACCGCTTGGACCCATGCATTCTAGGCACAGGACAAGTGGAAATGTGATGAGCCCTAAGTAGCTTGACCAGGCAACCTTATTGGGGACAGGAATATGCGCTATCAAGCTAAAGCTAACCCAAAATTTTGTTGCGCAAGGCATGATACATACTCCAATTGCTCTTCGGTGCCGCATTTCTGCTTCAGAGCCAGCCCCAAACTTCCTACCAGACAAAGATTAGCAGGCACCCCCAACATCATCCACAAATGCTCCCCAGAACTGCAGAAGATGCAGTGATCCACCCCTGTTCCCTTATGAAGATCAGCCATGCTGTAAAAAAAGAAGAAACAGACCACGTGCCACTTTGGCCTGACGGCTGCCCCCCTTCAATTTTGCTGCCACAGGCGACTGCCTGGATGGTCAAAACCAACCCTGTTTCCCCTTGAATATTATGCCTCAGCTCTAAATACATTTGACTTGGAAGGGAGTCCCATTAATTTCAGTGTATTTGCTTTCCAAGTATGTGTTCTTTGGGCCGCAGCCCAAATTTGGAAAATACACAGAAACCTAACTTGGATCCAAATCACACTTACTTGCATTCCAGGGAAACCAGTGGGACCTACTTCTAAGTGCAAATTTTTTTATTTTATTTTTTAGGTTTCAGTATACCTTTGAGAATCCATGGGCTTCCTCCCAGAGGGATCTATATCAGTTTATAAAGACAAACAATGGGGAAATTAATTAAGAATGTGAGGGTACCCAAAGTCCAGGTTTGTGAGTTGTATCAGTGGACAGGAACCAATGGCTATTAAAAAGAAGAAGAAGGAAATATTAATCAGAAGTCTCTTTCCCACTTCCCACCATAGGTTGCCTCTTAGGAGGAAACCCTCTTGAGAGGTGTGAAAAGATTAAGCAATTGGATCCCCCTGAACTCTGAAATAAAAATACTGAAATCCTTAATTCAGGTATCGAAAGGAAGGGGGAGATTAAGCTGCTGCAAAATACACCCCCCAAGCCTTCAGTTAGCACTTTTTAGGACACATCCATTATACTGGCATCTGTCAAAACAAAAGGAACGGGTGGTTTCAGCTAATTGGGGGGGGGGGTAGCATGCAAAGGAACAAGTTCTTCAGAGGGCTATACAGCTTTAGACTGCAATTTGAGACCCCGGTTTGGCAGAATGGGGGGTTTCCTCCACAGCATCTAAATTAGTCAACCAAAATTTATTATTCATATACACACACACACCTCTTTTTTAAAAAAGAAAGAAATACAACTGGACTGAAGTGACCTTTCGTTAGGGCAAATGTAATATATATCTGGAAGACTGGATGGAATCTGAGTGATTTTTCAAAGGTCAATGCCAGGAATCCTTCCGATGCAGAAGTGCTCTCCCCGAGACCAGTTTTAAGCAATAACAATAGTAATAATAAATAATAAATAATAATAATGATGATGATGATGATGATGCAACCTCTTATTGTCTCCAGTTGGAGGCCTTTGAAGCCTAAAGGCAGTGCTGGTGGAAGGGAGGACATTGGCTGGATAGGGATGCCACATCTGTCCCACTGGCCAATCATTTATTATTACAATCATTATTTATCAAATTTGAATACCATCCTTCGAGGATCACATGGCAGCTTACAATATAAAAACAAAAAAACACATAACATAATAACAAACAAAACAGCAAACACACACCTACACATTTCTTTTTCCTTACCCCTGTGCTACAGGCTAAAATCAACTAAAAACTGGTGTGGGCTTTTGGCTGCTTAATATTGATTTCATGATAGTTTTGTGCTGGTGTGTGACGATTTTATGTTGGCAGCATGCTGGTAGAATGGCATAAATACATACTTCCCCCAAACTTTGCATCTATGTGCATGCAGGTAAAATCAATTTAATCAAATCATTAAGAAGTAAATTTGCCTTAAGGAAGCTAATTTAATTGAAGCAATCCAGCCTGTTTCTAAGAAGAAAACGGGCTTTGGATGAAACGACGCAGCTGGTGTATATGTGGCTACTCACATGATCAGATCCCAAGTGATGGGAACTGGAAAGAAACCTCTTGAGTCAATGGAAAACTGGTGCCAGAAAAATGGTATTGGCAGTATTGGATTGATGGACCAATGCCTGCTTACTCACAGGAAGCTGCCCTTTACCACGTCAAACCATTAGTCCATCTAGCTATATGGCTCCTCCAATGGCAGGGGCTGTGTACCTCAATGAACCAGGTGCTGTTGCACTCAACTCCTGCTCGTAGGCTTCCCATCGATAACTGGTTGGACGATGTGAGAACAGGATGAATAAATCCAGCAGGGCTGTTCTTATACAGTGGTACCTCGGGTTACATACGCTTCAGGTTACACACTTCGCTAACCCAGAAATACCGTAGTACCTCAGGTTAAGAACTTTGCTTCAGGATGAGGACAGAAATCGTGCTCTGGCGGCGCAGCGGAAGCAGGAGGCCCCATTAGCTAAAGTGGTGCTTCAGGTTAAGAACAGTTTCAGGTTAAGAAGGGACCTCCGGAACGAATTAAGTACTTAACCCGAGGTACCACTGTATATTGTATGCACTGATTGGCAGCAGCTCATCAGGGTTTCAGACAGGGAGTCTTTCTAAAGCAAAGGGGCTTGAACCAGGTCCCTACCTTCTGTCCTGAAAGCAGAATTTCTACCTCCGAATTCTATCTCTTCCTTAAGTAGAAGGAAGAAGTTGCCTTATAGATTATATTCGGTATAATGCACCTCCTTCCTTCTCTGTGTCTAACCATGTACAGTATCTCACCTCGCCCATTTCCCTTCTGGTCCAAGAATTTTACAACTCCATGATACAGCTTAGCTCACATCTGCTTGTAAATACATGGCGGTGAAGCGCTGGCAAACTTCACCTGGCTTGCACGGGATGCCATTTCTTTGAAAGCCCTTTTGCCCTGCATACCGACTTATCTGGAAGCAAGTACAAGAAAGCCTGCAACAGGCCAATTGGGCTGGCTTCAAACCCTTTGAAAAAAATATCCCTGGGTATTTTTTTCAAGCAGATCCATCAAATGGCTTTGTTGCTCCTGCACTGACCTTAGTCAGTTGTTTATGCAAAATTCTTTTATAAAGATGTATTTCCACTTCTTTTTGCAGTTCCCCCACCCCTTCACTCTTTGGCTCCGGAGCTTATAAAATGCCAAGAAGTGTAGGAGTGAAGGTGACACTGCTATGTCTGTCAGCTGCGGAGTGATTCCTTTTGTTCATTGCTGGGTCTCGTGATATTTTCCAGGGACACCCTCTTGTCTACTTAGTTTAATGATTATTTTTATTTTAAAAATGGATCGCTGCCATCAGAAATTATTCTTGATGCAGACAGTCTCCCTTTTTTCTTCAAAAGGACATATCTTACTATAATCCGCTGGCTTTTATTTTTTAGTGGTGTTTTCGTAACAATGGTGCATCTATCTGGGTCAAATAGGGTGTGAGATCCTACCTCCGAAGGCTGATGAGGTTTTACTGACATGGAGCAGAAACTGACAAGAGAATAGAGGCCATCTCATGAATGAGCTGCTAACTATTTTGCAGGAGGGACTTTTAAACAGAATCTGGGAGCTCCAGATCTGCTTCCTTATCATAAAGTGGGGTCCTTTCTGCCTTGCTCTACATTCACCCCTTTTCACACCAACCGACAGCGTCCAGATTATCATATACAGTACAGGGAAGAGGAAGGTCCAGAACTGATGCTGACACAGACCGCTACGCTAATAATAGGCAATAGAACGAAAGAACAATACCCTATCTCTCTCCCCCCATATGCAAGATGTCTATGACAAAAGTGTCTCTCACTAAATGTAAACAAACTGTAAAAAAGGCTATGAACCAAAAGTAGAGACAATAGATGTACCTTTCCCTGTTTATCTGTTTGTTTTGTACAAAAAAACCCTTTGATAAAAACTATTATTTTTTAATTTTTTTTAAAGGTCCCAAATGCTTCATGCAAACAATTCCTTCATGGTAGCCTTTTTCTTTGAGCTCTATAGACCATTTGCTATTAAGTACTGTTTCCCTCGTGTATGTTCATCATGCTGTGGCAACTTTAGGGTTGCCGTATTTCGAAGAGGACACATTTGCCGACTTCAACTTTTAACTATGGATCTCTATGACGATTCTCATTTTACATGCCCATGAAAAAGAGGACATGTCCTGGGAACCCTAATACTTGTGTGAATAACCACCGTAGGTCTAATGCCATAGACAGAAATTCTCAAACATCATTTCAGAAGTTTGAGGAAGGGTTGAAGCTCAGAGGTAGAACCATCTGCATTGATTCAATCTGCAGCATCTTCTGATAGGGCTAGGAGAGGGTCCTGCCTGAAGCCCTGGAGATCCCCTGCCAGTTACTGCAAACAATACTGAGCTAGGCAGATAAATGGTTTGACTTGCTATAAGGCAGCCTCCTTTATTCCAAGAAAGCACAATGGACCCAAACCAACTGTGTGTTTCTATCCATGGCAGAGCAAGCTGTGTTTACAGATCCTGCCTCCAAAAGCCAGTCATCGCAAAATTCATTTAAGCCAGGAGGGGAAATGAGAGCGACTAAATATACATCTTATGGAATGTATTGGTTCTATAGAAGCGATCAGAACATTTGTACATGGTGTACACGCAGTAAGTAACTCATGTACACCACTAAAATGCCACATTTGTGCTCCTAAAGCCATAGAGGCCTGTTCTAGGTTCCAGTGGGTTGCCAATGGTCCTTATTTAATGAATGAATGGGAATTGCTGTGCGCCACAAAATCACATCTTCGCTTAGGCAAGAACGTGCAAAGGATGGTAAATTGATCTTGGCCCAAGATGTCAGGTGTAAAATAACATACAGAAATGAAGAAAACATCAGGACAAATTTGTGTGTGTGGTCAATTTATGTATATATATAATTTATCTGAAAGATTTATATGCACTTAACTTCAATAACCTCTAAAGATTATATATTTTTTTGAAAAAAATGTAAAAATCAGTTAAAACTATAAAATCAGACTTCTATTAAAAGGACTGATTTAATTATTTCTTATTCCATTTATTTGAACATTCGAAAAATGTTTGCACATTTTTATGTCTGTGAACAGATATTTTATAGTAGTTATTTTGAAGTATGGAATTCTATGTGCATAAAATAAATTTCTGGTGTTTTCCTTTTATGAATTATGGGGAGAAGGGGATAAGAAGAAGAAAAAGAACAATGGCATGCCCCATCAAGTTCTAAGGCAACTTCAACAATGTTTTGTTTCAGCATACAGCTGGACATAGAGACACACTGGAATTTGATTTGTGAGGAGCCTACAAAAAAAAATTGCCCAGATAACTAGCATTTTTAAATGACTAATGCACAGCCGTGCACCTGCTTGAGAGGCTTCGTGGATTAGTCTTGCAGTCACTGGAAAGGCCCCCTGGAATTCAATTACATGGCTGAAAAACAGAAAGCAAAACTGAGCCCCTGTTCATTTGGTGGGAGGAATCCCCGCAACATGTTAGCTACTTCTTTGGCTGAGATTTTCACAAGGCCTAAGCGTTTTCAGCGAGCCTTACTTCCGTGCAGCTAACTGCAGATTCTTACCGTTTTGCACTTGATTTGTTCCTGTCTTGCAGCTGGAGCCCCTGTCCGAGGACATCCTCCACCGGACCCCAAACTTAAACGCCATGGCTTCTTTGCAAAAGATCACCAAAATTCATAGTAAGTTGCAAGGTTTGTTCATTCTTCTTTTTAAAAGTTTCTAGCTCTTACTAACTGAGCAGTGCTGGAAGATACATGGACATCCCAAAATGTACACGCTTCACTTTCCCACCATGTGCAGATCAATACACAGGACTTTCCTGACACTGTCTCCCTCTCTCCATCGGCAGACCTCTCATAAGTGTGCAGCTGCGCTCACGAGACAGCTGCCCATCATAGCTGTCAACGTTTCCCTTTTTTTAAAGTGAAATCCCCTTATTCCGAATAGGATTCCTCGCAAGAAAAGGGGAAAGTTGACAGCAATGCTGCCCGTACTTAAAGGGGCACATAAGGGACCAACTGGACCGGTCTCTAAGAAGATTCAGGAGCTTGATGCTCCCAGAAAACGTAATTGTGATAGTGTATTGCAGGTATTAGGGACACGGGTGGCGCTGTGGGTTAAACCACAGAGCCTAGGACTTGCCGATCAGAAGGTCGGCGGTTCGAATCCCCGTGATGGGGTGAGCTCCCGTTGCTCGGTCCCTGCTCCTGCCAACCTAGCAGTTCGAAAGCATGTCAAAGTGCAAGTAGATAAATAGGTACCGCTCTGGTGGGAAGGTAAACGGCGTTTCCGTGCACTGCTCTGGTTCACCAGAAGTGGCTTAGTCATGCTGGCCACATGACCTGGAAGCTGTACACCAGCTCCCTTGGCCAATAAAGCGAGATGAGTGCCGCAACCCCAGAGTCGGTCACGACTGGACCTAATGGTCAGGGGTCCCTTTACCTTTACTATTGCAGTTATTGATATTGTCAGCATGAAGCAATTGGATGCATAAAAGCTGAATCCTTTTGGAAGAAACATTGTCCAGCCTGGTTTGCGCCCTTCTCTCCCCGCCCCACAAGATTCTGCACCTGGGGCCATCACCCCCCACGGTCCCCCCATGCCACGCTACTGTCTTTTCTCTTCAAGTCTCTCTAACACATGGGTTCCCCTGTAGTGTTTTGGCCTCTTTGAATTGCTTTCCTGTCCCCTTCCACTTCCGTTGTCTAGTTCTGCCCCTCCTCCCTATGGAAAAGCATGAACATTTTCACCTTCATCCCTTGGGAATGACCCATCCCAAACCAGATGCTCCTCAGCTCCTGTAGGCTTTCCGCTGGGTATCAGCTGAAAAGCTACTCTCTCTTCTTTTTTTATTGTGAGTGCCAGTAGTCTGATCCTGCTCTGGTTTAATTTTGGCACCCAGTTCAGTTTGCAATTAATCAGCTGCTTAACTCTGTTGGGTTTGGAGTGGGGTGGGGGTCACAATCAAAAAGAAGAGAGTCAAAGGTTGGTTTTACTTTATTTTATTCATTCCCTTGCAAAAACTCCAGTGGTGAACATGGGTTCATTTCTTTTATGACAGAGCAGGGTATTATTCCCATGCCAACAGATCTGGTTTTCTTGCACATCTGTTTTTCTAGCAAGGAACTGCCCCCACCCTGAAACCCATAAATAATGGAGTTTGAATTGCTTGTTCATTGCAAACTAACTGCTGCGTGAATGTTCTGTGGGAACATTGTGGAATGCCCATATAACTTTTTTATTAATTTTTTTTGTTTTGTTTTAATGAATAGAGATTATAGTCTCTAAATGCACCATTAATAGAGAATGTTTCTGTCTTGCTTTTTTTAAATAGAATTTGCCAGACCCAGTGATTGCTCGGTGCTTTATATACACCATTTTTAAAGTGATGGATTTTACACTATTGGAGAAAAGCCAAGTTTCTATCACTTGGATCTTTTTTATTTTAAGATACATAATATGCTGCAGTTTTAATCCCCTTAAATTTTTCTGTTTTGTAAGGATCCTGCTAGCAACTCAAATGGTCACGAGGCTTCATGTCCAAGAAGCCACCTTTCTACCATGTTACCAGATGATTAAACAGATTGCCCTTTTCCTGATGCTTGGCTTCCATTGATGTCCCCTCTTCTGTTTGTGAATGAAGGAGATACAATCTCCTGAAAGGATTCAAGCTTTGCTACATCATAAATAAGAGAATTCCATCCAGTTCAGCTCTAAACCCTCACACTACCTGTGGAACTCCTTCAACCCCATATCTCAGGGTTACAGCACATCTTTTGCATGCAAAAGGTCTCAAGTTCAACCCTTGGGCTCGGATGAAGCCCTGGAAAGCTGATGCCAGTCAGACAGTAACAAGCTTCATAGACCAATGAAGTCCAACTCAGTATTGGGAAAGAACTGTAACTCAATGGTAGAGCATATGTCTTGCATGCAGAAAGTCCCAGGTACAATCTCTGATGTCTCCAGGTAGTCTGGGAAAAGCTTCTGCCTGACAACCTGGAGAGCTACTGCCAATCAGTGTAGACAGTACTGAGTCAGATGGACAAACATTTACAATTGAAGTATAATCAAGTCATCTGGTTGCTATTGAAACACTAGCATAAATCTCCTATTTTATTATGACAAGCTTACGTCAAGGTCTCCTGGATAGGATGCTATAATTTTCCAGGACTATCAGAGATTTGGTATCTCTGGATTATTCTTGGTATGGCAAACTGCTTGATAGAGCTACCCAGCTCAACAGCTGAAGGCTCACACCAAGGCCTAAGGTATCTTTACCACATCAGTTTTATGAGACACATATAGTTGTACCTCGGAAATCGAACGGAATCTGTTCTGGAAGTCCATTTGACTTCCAAAATGCTCAGAAACCAAGGCACGGCTTCCAATTGGCTGCAGGAAGTCCAGGTATCAAAGAACGTTCGCAAACCTGAACACTCACTTCCAGGTTTGTGGCGTTCAGGAGTCACAATGCATTTGTCAACCAAGGTACGATTGTATTGGATTTGAATACAACCCTGATATTTAGCATGTCAGGGGAATTAAAAAACCAACCAGCCAACAACATTGAGCTCATCCTGACATAGGAAACCCCAACTCTGCCACATGGGATTGTATTCATAAATATAAAAGCCAAGCTTGACAATTTATTTGTCCAAATTTGAATTCTTAAACTATAGGAAATATTTGTGCCCATTTTCTAGCTCCTTTCTCCTCTTGTTGCTGTAGGCTGGCTTCTTGAGCTTTGAAAAGGTACCAATTTTTCAAAGGAGTTAATGGGTTTTGGGAGTTCCTCCAAGGAAGATGTTCTCCAACCTGAGGCCATCTGTTAGTTTCTGGGTGTATACACAGAACGGATCTGGGCTCCAGCTACTGCAGTGTGTTTGCTCACCCTGGAATAAATAGGCTGCAGCACCTATTTTCTGAAACTCACTGCCTATTAATAGTAACCAGGAGCCTTCATTGTGCCCTTTTTGACACCTACTGTTTTTGTTTAAGGAAGCCAATCCAGACACTTATTATGTGCATTTGCTCTTTTAAACCGTTGGCATTATCTAAATTTTGGTAACTTTCAACATGGCTACTTTTTATAGGCCTGTCTTTATTGCTATTTTTAATGGATATTTTATACCATTTTATGTAAGCTGCTTGGAGATATCCATTAAATGTTATATACACCTTGCTGATTAAAAATGAATAAGTATGTGCCATGGATAATGTACCATTTATGAGTGATTGTTCTTCATTTGCCTAGATAATTTGCTTCAGAGACTTTTTGATGTTGCAATAAGCAGGAGGTTTGAAAACTCAGGGTTGGTTTTGGGGTTGGTTTGCTTTTTAATTCCACACATTATATAATGTACCAATATTCCCTTGCCTGCCTTATTCTAAGCTACCCTATAATATATCGCAGGGCTCCCATAGCAGCCAGTAGATATATTAACATTTTAAATAAATTATTGTTCTAGTGCACGCCCTGAGGTTAGAGGCAAAAGAACATCCAGGACTAACAAACCTGATTGTTCTGGCAACACAGATGCGTAGTGCCTTCTGGCATACCAAACTTCTGTTCTAGTTGCTGTCGTCTCTGATTTTTTTCTCCCACTGCCTGCTGTTTACGGTTGCATTAAATGTACCTGCCATTTCACAAATCTCCGATTTTGCAAATGCCGAAATGCTCACACTGTTAGAAGTAGCCCACCAACGGCTCCAGCTTCCCAGATACTAAGAGTTCATTAAACTGTGTGCTGTTCTTTCACTTTATTGCTTTCTTAGGAAGGGCTGTGACACAGACCTTGGAAAAGAGAGCACTTTCCAACTTGGCACTGTGGGATCCAGAATCATAACTTCATCACAGCCGTTTGAAATTCCCTGTTGCAACCACTCCACACACTTATAAGCACTCTGTGTTAGACCTAAGCAATTACTAGGGTTATACCACCATGCTAGCTAAATTTCCCATAAATTATGGGACTGCACAGTTATTATGGTGTATTTTCTTTAGGCAAGTACTGGAAGTCTGTGGAGCCTTACGTTGTGCCAGTTAGTTGTAAGCTGGCTGAGACTCAGAAACAAGAGACAGAGGAGACAGAGGCAGTCTCAGCTATGGCCTTACTCTCGGTGGATGTGGACCAGCCTTTCTCACATGAACATGCCAGGTACGTGCAAAATCTTAGAACGGCAAGTGACAAGTGTTGTGTGACTGAAGGAACGTGTTTTAAGTCCTTTTTTTTAAATAATCCAGACTCTTTTTTTGCATGCTTTAACTTCATGTTGTTTTCCTTGACAATGTTGGAACAACCAGAGACAGAGAAGCATTCTATAGTTGCCTTGGATTGTTTGGCTTTCGGGAAACTGGGCTGCTCTAGATGTCATTTTTTATTGTGCATTCCTTATTATTATTATTATTATTATTATTATTATTATTAGCATTTATATACCGCCTTATACCCAGAGGTCTCAGGGCAGTTCACAGAAAAGATCACAGCATATATCATCAGAATAAAAACAACAACCCAATAACACCTCCCCCCAGAAAAGAGCCACATTTTAAAAGGGTATAGAATGTCAAACAGATCAGCCAAAGGCCTGGTTAAAAAGGAATGTTTTAGCCTGGCGCCTAAAGGTGTGGAATGAAGGCGCCAGGCAAACTTCCCTAGGGAGAGCATTCCACAGACAGGGAGCCACTGCAGAGAAGGCCTGTTCTCGTGTTGCCACCCTCCACACATCTCGAGGAGGAGGCACATGAAGGAGGGCCTCAGAAGAGCATCTCAGGGTCTGGGTGGGTTCATATGGAAAGAGGTGGTCCTTGAGGTATTGTGGTCCTGAGCTGTTTAAGGCTTTATAGGTCAAAACCAGAACTTATGGTATTAGAATGGTTATATACAGTCCCACTTTCAATCCTGTTTGCTGCTGCTGTTCTCTTTTCCTGGTTTTGCTGTGCTATAAGCCTCAAGAGTTCCCCTTTGGTTGGCAATAATGTGGCAACACTGGGAAAGCATTGTAGAACAACTAATAAATTGGAATGAGGTGTGGATGGTCCAGTACGAATCCACCACTAATGCACTATTATTGCATCAATGACATGTTTCAGAATCAACACACACACAATCCAAACACACACCAGTTTGGAGGGGCCCCCAAATATAGTGGCCACAATATTCTATCATTTTGTACTGCTTGAAAGTTATCTTCATGAACTTTGTTGTCACACCTACAAAACTCTGACCACTCTTGTCAGCAAGCCCAACAAAACTTTTATCAACAAGCCCAACAAGGCTTAAATGGTGGAGGCAAAGGTTGAGGGCCCTTAATGAACGCCCCAATCCCCAGACCCTGACTCCAGATTTTAGTCAAATCATGCCCTCTGCCACAGCTTTCTGAGGGAACCATCACAAAAACGGGATTCAAGCACTGGTGCCCACACTACAGAATTAAGTTGAATAGAAACTTGTATATTTTGAATTTTAAACTGGTATCACCTAGATATAAAAAGGATAGGCCCAGATTTCGTCTGTTGTCAAAGAACTGTTATGCTAACGAAAATATATTTCCATAGATCTGCTTGGCCAAAATTAGGAGTTGTCCTCTGATGAACAAGGTGAACCACACCTTGTTTCCTGATCGGTCTGTTCTCCATGGGTTTGGATGTCTCTTGAGAGAACGTCATCCAATTTAGCATGACAGTTCCTGGGCTGGGTGTGCCAGTTTTTCTCTGGGTTTGGACATCTTTGGATACCATTTTGAATCAAGATAGTGGGCCATAATATTCCAAAATGCATCTCTGTCTCCAGAGATATCATTGGCCAATGGTTCTTGAAATTAAGTGGGTTTGGCCCACATTTGGATAACTTCAGGCACAGTTTTGAGTCCATATAATGGACCCAACTGTTCCAAACTGTGCTAGTTTGGATGGCTCTGAATAGACTGTTTATAGTTTGGTGTGACAGTTCCTGAAATGATGGAGTGGGGTTTGGTATTTGGACACCTCCTGCATCCATTTGGAATCAGAGCTGAATAGCTGGTGCAGGAGTCAGTTGGAGACAGCAAATGAGCTCAGGTGACCACTTACTACAATGTAGCAGCAGTTGCAGGAGGGTAACTGGCAGCTACGGTGTGGGAGGAGGCAGCATTGTTGTTGATAGCAGCAGCAGAACAGCTGGGACCTGAACTACACCAAACCAAGGCACGTTGGTGGTCAACTCTTGGGGATGGCAGAATGAGGAGGCAAGACATGCCTGGCACAGCAGCTGAGCATGTGAAGCAGCACAGCAGGAAACATGCCTCAAGGGTGCAGGCCCTCTGGCTGCAGAGGACTGCTTCACCAGCATGTTTCTCACAAGCATAGAAGCAGCAGCTCCCAAAAGTTGGTGGGAATTGCCATTCAAATGGTGTGCGTGCGTGCTGCATACTGTGATTGGTTATGTGGTGTGGGGCTTACCTGGCCACCGCCCCGCCCCACACCCCAATATTTTATTTAAGTTGGTACCCTTGCTTTCAAAGGATGTTCTGACAAAGCAATGCCCAGCAGGATACAACCCTCCTGCTCTCTGGGGTGCAGTCAGGAGGGGAGGGGGAAAGGAGATGCAGTAACTCCTTCATCGCCACCCCCTCCTCACCATGCCCTCCAGATGTTTCGGCACTAGAACTCCCATCATCCCTAGCTAACAGGACTAGTGGTCAGGGATGATGGGAGCTGTAGTCCCAAAGCATCTGGAGGGCCGAGGTTGCCTATGCCTGATATAGGGCTTTAAAAAAAACCAAATTAAACATCATTCCCCACCAAATAAACACAACTGGATTCAAGTGATGCCCTGGCCATGTCAGAGAGGATGGAAGTGAGGTATTAAACAGCCCTAAAACTAACAAATTGCATGAGCCACTTAAAAATCTCAATTTTTTGCTTTGTTTTTTTTGTTTTTTTGTTTTGTTCTTTGAATTCCTGGGCAACGCTGGGCACTTTCAGCTAGTCAATGAATAAGGATGGGAGTGTTCCTTTTCCCTGCCTGCCAGCTGTTGTTTCACACTGACCTAACATGACTGACTTGGACCTGAATTTAACAATTCCGTAAAATGAAAGAACAACTGCCAATGCGCTTCACCGATCAAGTATTTCAATATGATGTGTGAATAGTTCCATGCGCAGAACAGCATATTGTCAGAAAAGCGACTCTGTAAAAAAGGATGTTATAGAGTTCTTTGCGTTTATTCATGCCAAATGCTTCTTGGCACTTCTGCACAGCAAAGGAGAGTCCAAATGTAGTGGAACTGGTCTGAATCCATTAAGTGGAAGAAAGGGGAAAGAGGGAGAGGAGAACCAAATCCCATAGAGATGAACTTCTTTGGATGTTGCGAGTGAAGCTGGACACACCATTGAAAGAAGGAGTCTGAGACATTTGGTGTAGCCCAGTGTTCATCCACCTTGGGTCCCTGCATATTGCTGGACTATGACTCTCAACATCCATGATAATTTGGTAAATTGGCTGGGCATTATGGGAGCTGTAGTCTTCTCAGAAGTAAACCCTATGAAGTTCAGTGGGGCTTCTTCTTGGGTCAGTGAGTTCAGGATTACAGCCTTAATTTCATGGGGATTTGAGGTGTGGGGAGGCAGAATTTAGCTTATTGATTTTAGTGCAGATCCTGACTTACATTGGGAGCCAGATGTAAAAGAACTGCCGAGTTCTTTTTACCAGCCAAAGATGTAAACATGAAACATCTTTTACCAATGTGAAGAGATTTGAAACAAAATGCAAGCCATAATTTAAGTTTGAGTGAACCTAATTTTTATGGTGAAATAAAGCCAAGTTTTCGGCTAATGAAAACGAAGCGTAATTAGTTTGGCATATCAAATTACAGAGTTTAAACTAATTAGCAGCTAATTGTCATATTTTGAGAGTGTGCTAATTTGAAACCACTGCCACTTAGCAGTAATTGATTTGCTAGGAGCTTAAATAAAGCCACCTTCACTTCTTCTAACAATGCATTTGCTTCTGCAAATATCAAGCCACCAGAGCATCGCATGTGGTCATTTCAGCCTCCAAGCCTTTTTTTAAAAAAAAGAAAAGAAAAGAAAAGAACCACACAAATTGAAATGAACACTGGAGTTGAAGAAAATGAGAGAAATAAAGATACAAGGGCACATCATCACATGAATTCAGTAGTTCACTTTCCAGATTCATCTCATCTCATCAGTCTGTACAGTGGTACCTCGGGTTAAGTACTTAATTCATTCCAGAGGTCCGTTCTTAACCTGAAACTGTTCTTAACCTGAAGCACCACTTTAGCTAATGGGGCCTCCTGCTGCTGCCGCACCGCCAGAGCACGATTTCTGTTCTCATCCTGAAGCAAAGTTCTTAACCCGAGGTAATATTTCTGGGTTAGCGGAGTCTGTAACCTGAAGCATATGTAACCTGAAGCGTATGTAACCCGAGGTACCACTGTACTGAAATCAGTAGACATTCATAATCTTGAACTGTAAAAGGATTCACTTTCTCCCATAATCCCAATTAAGGTAATATTTTTCTGTGGCCAAAATCCATACAAGTTTCATATTTTTGAGGTGGGGAGTGAGGGTGTGTTACCTCATGCTTTTTCCTACCTTAACATAATTTGGAGGTGATCGAGTGGTGTGTATTAATGCCTCAATGCTATTTTAACTTTCAGCGTCACTCCAGCCTTACAAGCTTTCTTTTTTATATTTTTTTAATTAATTTTTCAGTTTATACACCTCAAAATAAACATTTTACATAATACCATGTAACAATTGACTTCCCTCCTGCCCTTTCATGGTTCATTTTACTTATATCATTCCTGCATATTTTACTATAAAAAGGTGAAGGACCCCTGATGGTTAAGTTCAGTTGCGAATGGCTCTGGGGTTGCGGCGCTCATCTCGCTTTACTGGCCGAGGGGCCAATTGTTTCTGCATTTTACATCCTTCAAATATTTACCATACCATTGAATTTATCTAAATGCTACCAGTGTTTTCAATTGCACACAATTATTTTCTAAATATTCAGCAAAAAAAATCCACTCCATTTTGAATAAAGATTTCTGTAAGTTAAACCTGCTGCTTCCGCAAATTCTATCATCTTAAGTCGCCAGTCTTCCTTACTAGGGATCTTACTCACTTTCCATCTTTGGGCTAGCAAAATTCAAG